TGTGGCGGGAATACATTTTCTGGAAGAAAAGAGGTCCTTGCTTACAGACAGCTGGAGTGATGAGGTTAGGGAGAAGCCGTCATTCCAAGGGCTGTCTCTATGCAGCCACAAGAAGAGCTGTGCTGTGTGAGATCTTCAGCGAGAGAAACTGCTGGGAAGTAAACTGGGCAAACACTAACCTACTTATTTGTCTGATTCTGTTTCAGAAACTCCGTAGCAAAGCTACAGAGAAGACCAAGGGGAGTGAGCTAGTCCAACAAAGAATCCCTTTATCTCTGAAACTTTCTGATCAATAAGGCATTGAGCCAAACAGTAGGGAGACTGAAATCTACAAAACTAGATCATACAACAAAGGAGGTAGAGGATGTGGGTTCCTGGAAGACACAGTCGGGATATTTCTGTATCAGCTGCAGCACTTAGCATTTTATCTACTGTCATACATTTGCATAATAGGCCCTCACTAATTATTTGTTGAATAGAAATATGTAATAGACTTAGTCTTTGTGTTAAATCTCTTCAGAGGTATTGCAGTGTGGGTTTGCAGTGTTACAGATTCAGAAACAGGAACAGGAGAGGGATTTCCCTGTTCACATATCAGGAGAGGGATGGATTAGGAGTCAGAAGATGAGCACGGAAGCAAGAAAACCAGAATATGCTCAGGGGCCAGCAGGTAGTGTGGTGGTCAAGGTGCTGGACTCCCACATGGCCAACCATGGTTCGAGTCCCTGACCTGGCAGCTTGCCTTCTCACTCTCCCTCTCTCTCTCTGTGTGTCTCTCTCTCTGGTCAAATTGAAGAATAATAATAAATAAAATTAAATTAAATAATTTTAAAAAAAAGGAACAGCCCAGGCGAATTGCAGGATTAGACATGTGCAGAAGAATGGGAGAATGTGCCAACTGATTTATTGTGTTATTCAAATTAAAGATGCCAATCATTCCTTCTATCTTCGCATGAGTCCAAGTTCTATGGAGATGCTGCAGAGGGGCATAGTAACTGCCAGAGGTGCATCTGCAACCAGGTCCCCAGACTGCCTGCTTGCTCTTTCCTCCTGACCTTATTTAAATAATGATATGCACTGCTTGCAGCTAAAATACATTCTCTCAGCAATATTACAACGAATTTTCAAATGTCATTGACATTTTATTCAATGCTTGGGTGGTGGGGAAATAGAATAATTTCCCTATGTCACATAAGTGCATCACAGTAAGAGTCATTGCAGGCTGGCCCAGCCGTGGTAGTGCAAGCAGGAGAGTGCCACCCCATGGTAGCTGGAAGCCTAGGTTTGGCTCCTGGCCCAACCCAGACAGCAAGATGCCTGTGGATCTACGGCTATGTCGCTGGACTCCCACATAGTCAACTGTGGTTCGTGTCCCTGACCCGGTGGTTTAAAACTCACGCCAGGCGCATGTGCATGCGTGCCCAAGATCCCGAGAGGAGAATGGAGGAGAAGGGATTGCGGCATGACCATCCCCCTGAGGGGGTAATTTCTCGCTTTCTGTCTCTATGTCTCTCTCTGTCTGGTGAGCGCACGCGCCCTATAGCAAAAACCTCTCAAAAAAAAAAAAAAGTACATTCTTTTAAAGCACTGAATAGCGGGGAAAAAATACTCATTATTATGAGGGGGAAAAAGTCTAAATCAAGAGACCGACACAAAAAGATAAGCAGTGCACGGAAGCTTTTTTGCCCTGAGGGCATTTGCCAACCGCGGGATCTTTCCCTTCCAGTTTTGTTGACTTCCAAAGCTATGGCACTAAAAAATTTTAAAGGAGGACATGGTGGAGGCCAGCCCTGAAGTACAGTGGTTAAACCTGTTCAGAACCCCACATGGCCAACTGCAGTTCAAGTCCCAGTCCTGGAAGCCTGAAAACTACACTGAGCATGTGTGCCTAAAACCCTGATGGAAGGGAGAAGTGGAGGGGAAAGGACTGAGGTGTGACCATGCCCCATAGGGGAGGGGTTTTCTCTCTTGTGCCTTCTAGCAATAAAACAATAAAACACAAAAAGGAACTAGAACACCATGGAGCCTGATGACACAGTGGTAACGCAACTCTCCGCAAGGCTGACCCACATGGAAAGGTTCCAGGTGCATGACCAGAAATCTCCCTGAAAACACCAGGTAATGCAATCCCATGACCCAGGGCCAGCTAGAGCTGGGGATGGATCACAGCACGGGGACTTGTAAAGGGTGTCTCTCTCTTTCTCCACCTTGCTCATGGAAGACATAAATAGCAAGAACCAAAAAAACGACCTAGGATATGGCTAAGATGGAAAAACCCTACTTACATATGGTTGAGATCTCTAAGCACAACAGGGGGTCGCCCAGCCGTGGTAGTGCAAGCAGGAGAGTGCCACCCCATGGTAGCTGGAAGCCTAGGTTTGGCTCCTGGCCCAACCCAGACAGCAAGATGCCTGTGGATCTACGGCTATGTCGCTGGACTCCCACATAGTCAACTGTGGTTCGTGTCCCTGACCCGGTGGTTTAAAACTCACGCCAGGCGCATGTGCATGCGTGCCCAAGATCCCGAGAGGAGAATGGAGGAGAAGGGATTGCGGCATGACCATCCCCCTGAGGGGGTAATTTCTCGCTTTCTGTCTCTATGTCTCTCTCTGTCTGGTGAGCGCACGCGCCCTATAGCAAAAACCTCTCAAAAAAAAAAAAAAGTACATTCTTTTAAAGCACTGAATAGCAGGGAAAAAATACTCATTATTATGAGGGGGAAAAAGTCTAAATCAAGAGACCGACACAAAAAGATAAGCAGTGCACGGAAGCTTTTTTGCCCTGAGGGCATTTGCCAACCGCGGGATCTTTCCCTTCCAGTTTTGTTGACTTCCAAAGCTATGGCACTAAAAAATTTTAAAGGAGGACATGGTGGAGGCCAGCCCTGAAGTACAGTGGTTAAACCTGTTCAGAACCCCACATGGCCAACTGCAGTTCAAGTCCCAGTCCTGGAAGCCTGAAAACTACACTGAGCATGTGTGCCTAAAACCCTGATGGAAGGGAGAAGTGGAGGGGAAAGGACTGAGGTGTGACCATGCCCCATAGGGGAGGGGTTTTCTCTCTTGTGCCTTCTAGCAATAAAACAATAAAACACAAAAAGGAACTAGAACACCATGGAGCCTGATGACACAGTGGTAACGCAACTCTCCGCAAGGCTGACCCACATGGAAAGGTTCCAGGTGCATGACCAGAAATCTCCCTGAAAACACCAGGTAATGCAATCCCATGACCCAGGGCCAGCTAGAGCTGGGGATGGATCACAGCACGGGGACTTGTAAAGGGTGTCTCTCTCTTTCTCCACCTTGCTCATGGAAGACATAAATAGCAAGAACCAAAAAAACGACCTAGGATATGGCTAAGATGGAAAAACCCTACTTACATATGGTTGAGATCTCTAAGCACAACAGCTTCAAGGCTAAGGATCAACCAAAAACAAACCAACAAACAAACAAAAAACCTACTTCACTACTATCAGGAGATCGCAGAAAAGAAAAAGAAAAGAAAGAAGAAAATACCTTGAAGCCAGGCACCCTACACGGTTCCAGCCCAGATTTACAATACTTGGAAGAAATAGAAAAGCTGAATAATCCTGTAATCATATTAAAGAAAGTCTTCCCACTAAGAACACTCCAGGCGATTGATGATTTATACCAGCTAAGAAAAGGTATCTTGGGGCCAGCAGGTGGCATGGTGGTTATGGTGCTGGACTCCCACATGGCCAACCATGATTCCAGTTCCAAACCTGGCAGCTTGCTTTCTCACTTTCCCTCTCTGCTTCTCTTGAGTGAGCACACATGCCCTATAGCAAAATTTAAAAAGATAATAATAAATTAAATTAAATAAATAATTCTTTCTAAAAAGGCTATCTTTTTGTGAAATGTATTTAAACAGAATAATGGGGACCAGCAGTTAGCATAATGGCTATGTTGCTGGACTCCCACATAGTCGACCGCGGTTCGAGTCCTGGACCCGGTGGCTTAAACTCACGCCAGGTGCATGTGCATGCGTGCCCAAGATCCCGAGAGGAGAATGGAGGAGAAGGGATTGCGGCGTGGCCATCCCCCCTGGGGGGGTGATTTCTCGCTTTCTGTCTCTCTGTCTCT